TAATACTTCAATACTAGCACTCTATTAGTGGTAGTGATTTGCCAGAATCTTTTGTTTGATTTTGGTTTTTATAATCAAAACAAAACTCTTGTAAAAATTTCCTTGAAATAGCATTAATATGAAGAACATGAACGTGTGTTGGCAATAGAAAGTTTTTTGGAAGAGGTGATTACCATCAGTGCTTCCCTCCATTGCAAGCTTCAGCATTGTATCTTACAATATTCCCAGGGGGAAGATGTTTAGAGTTGTAAAGATGGAGGTGAAGATCCCTATTATGTCATTTCTGTTATCTTCAAAGGAGGAAAGTTCAGGAGTGGGGAGCACACACCATCCAAGATGCATAGCAGTTTTACAAAGAATGAGAGTACAGGTCTCAGCTATGAGGAGACTACATTCTACAAATATAATAAAAGTAACAAAAGGAAGAGGGGAAATGTATGCAGGACTGAACAGGGGAAAATCTTCCTTTATTGATAGCTGGTTGTGCCAGAGATGTATACCTAATAGTGCAATTCTGCATATGTTAGACAGAAAAAGTGCTGCAGCTCCAAGCATTCCCCAGTCAGCATGGTTGGGTGTAGTAAAACTTTTTTTCCTAAGCATGGATAGGATTATACCATTAATGTATAGTATTAAAATATAAACATCTTTTGGTTTATTGGGTGCTGATCGATTTGTAGTCACTTAGCCATCAGTTCTGACTGCTCAAAACTATGGACCAATGCAGAAAACAGTCTCTGTATTTTTCATCCAAGTTACTTTCTTTATATCAATAAGCCATCATTGCATATAACACTTTATAATTATAAAAGGATGGAAAGAGGTTGCCATTTCAAACATGGGGAAACAACAGAGAAAATGAAGACACATACAAACAAGGAAAGAATATGTAACAATTTTAGTTACAGCACCTAAGTCACATGTTTTGTTGCAGTATGGCATGGACATTAGGACTTAATAACAATAATAAAGTGGGCTTTCCGAAGGAATTTGGAAGAAGAGAGGTAGCTTCATACAGATTTTCTACAAGTCAGTTGCAAGCATGAGCATATGTCCTAAGGGAGAAGAGATGGACACATTTGAGAGAGCAGGTAAAACCTGAAAAACTGAAGGTGGTGGAACTAGTGGAGCAAACATTAATGGCCATGGAGCTAAGGAATGGAAAGCTGGTGAGGCTGGGGCAAGGGCATGGAGAGCTTTAAAGTTAAGGAGATTGTAGTAGATCCAGAGGTAGATGGGAAGTCAGCATACGTGTTTCTCTTGACTTGCTGGAGCAATGGGGGAGATTTAATAAGTTTGTTAACATGAGATATATGTGAGAACTTGACACAATGGAATGCCAGAAAGAAGAAGGTTATGGCAGTCAAGGTGAGAGATGACAAAGCTTTGCGAAGGGGTAGAAATGAAGGACTCAGTTTTTGTAGGGTTGTAAAGGGAGGCAATGAACTGAATATAAGGAATAAAGAAAAGATAAAGTGGTCAAAGATAAAGCCAAGACTTTGTGCTTGTTCAAAGGATGGATGGTGACACTGTAGATGGATTGGGTGAATATATTAGGAAAGGGAGGAAATTGGTTTAACATAGGTTGGTTTAACGTAGTTTTTGTAAAAGATGCAGCATCCATCAGAGAGTAAAGAGTTGGAGATGTGGGGTTGGATGGAAGAGGAAAGTTCTGGGGATTATCAATAAAGCTGGGTGACATGTACATATTTGTGATACTGAAAGTTATGGGATTTGGTGAGATCACAAAGGATGGTGTGTAAGGAGAAAATAGCTGTGAGTTGAACACTGAAGAATAACAGGGAAAGAAGACTGCTCCAGAAGGAAACACTGAAAAAACTCTCTTGCTATTTTCCTGCAGATTCAGTGAACTGCACATCTGCTTGAATAAAGATACTGAAAGGAAGGCATGAGCCAGATTAGGGTCTGAAAGGGACTAATATTTCATTGGGAGAATGAGGCAAACGTATAAAAGGCTAATGAATTGGAGAAATTAAAGGTGCAGGCAGAAGCAGCAGAGGAAAACAGAGAAACCTGCAGAAAGTAACAAGGCACATTTCCAAGTCTTCTGAAATTCAGCCAAACTTAAGTTGCCCTTTTCTTATAGGTGTTTAACTTACACTTATTTGAATATGGGATCACTCTTGGCTATGCATAGTATTGAACTTTAAGTTGCAGAGATATCTGCTTTTGGATAAATACATTGTTTGAGGGAAATTTCCCTAATGGGTGGTTGAAATGTTTTCCTAGTAGGCCCCTGATCTTTCCAAATATAAATTTCAGCAGGCACAGTGAAAGAGTCATAAAACAGAAGAGTGTTCCATACCTACATGTGGATGTTTTTGTTTCACAATGTTGAATATTTTAAGAAAAGAAAATGCTCTCATTATTGACTGGTAATGAAAAAGGAAACTTGTCAAGAACAGATTCAAAGTCTCTCAGTAGAAATTTGAATTTTCCTCAGAAGTGAACCAAATTGTTTAATGGGGACTGTAATTCCTTTTCTCCTCTTTCTTTTTACTTTCTCAGCAACCTCAGATACTGACTAGAGTTTGTCATACATATGCATTTCTGAGGAGAAATGGCTGCTTGAAATATAAGCTGATTTTGCATAATAATCTAATTAGCAGGACTTAGGTACAGAAAAGGCCTTGATGGTTAGTTATTTTTGTTTTATTCAGTGATTCATGTATCTCCTCTTCTGAATTGGTAGGTTTCTCATGGGTTCATGGTGACAGAAGCATGGACAAAGCACTACATTTTGCAGAATCCATACTAGCAATTCATGAAAGAGGAAAAAATCCTATCTTTGGAACCTCTCTAAACTTGCCAAGCTTTGTAGAGTTTTGCAGGGGATCATATTTCCTTCTGAACAGCAAAGCAGGATGGATTTGCTTTTTTTTTCATGTACTCTTTGGATACTGACTTAAGTCTATATCCTCATTTTTTGCTTCTCATATATATAGAAACATTGCACAGTAGATAAGTTAATATTTTTCTAGTTATTTTAAGAAGACAAAACACATTCATGTGCAAGACATAGGTTAAAGGAATGTAACTTTTATGGAAAATGTTTCTGGGTTTTCCAGTGCTTACACCTACTTCATTCTGAAAATTCAGGGTTAATAAAATATGGAGAGGCAGTATTAGGTATTTTTAATAGTGGCTGTAGTCCTTGATGGCAGCAGGTTATGTAATCAGCTGTGTACACTGTGCATTCATTCTAAAACTTTTACTGGTTTCTCTTGACTGTACATTTGAATAAGTTCATACGAGATAGAATAGAACGCTTGTATTATCTATGTGCATAGCTTACACTTTTGTTGTCTGAATGCACAGTATCTTTGCCTCAGTAATCAGCCACCCTGTCAACTTGGCATGATGTTTGGGACTGCAAGTGAGCATGTCAACCTTCTTTGACATTTCCTAAGGGACCTTGATGAAATGCAAACCCAGCGAATGTATTGAGCATGAGTTACAGAACATGCATTCATTTATCATTTGATTGTTTAAATCAGGAGTGAAACAAGGACTATGGTTTTTTTCCTTATAAAGCCTGAATAGCTGATTATGATGTATGCTTTGTTTCTCCATGTGTGCAGTATAGGTTACTGTCCATTAGGACTGTTGGAGTAAAAATTAGGACTGTTGGAGTAAAACAGGCCATTTATTCATACTTTCTGCTTTCAGATATTCTATTTTTGCTCATTAAAAATGGTGATTTAGAAATGCATTAGCTCTATTAAGAATAGTCTGAACTAACTCTAGCACTGGTGGGTATTAAGTACACAGCTCTGTATGTGTCTATTCAGCAATAAATCCTGTTGGGTTCAGTGGAGATCAGGTGGGTTGATAACAGGGTGGCGACCCAGTTTTACACCTTCTGCCTCCAGTTATTTTAGTTAACTTAGAAAAGCTTTTGATCCCCTAAAAAGAGTGAAGTCTAACATGCTCCATATAAACAAGATGAATGGATACGTGAATTTTATTGTAACCAAATAAATTATATGTTACAATTTATAATGAACTATTATAACCACAACATTGTTATAGTCCAAATAATGTTTAGGGATTCTTTATAAGTAAATAATGGTAAATAAAGAATTATAAGTACACTTCTCCTGGTACTTAAAGCATAATGCATGGTTGGAGGACTACATTAGAAAACAGTGGAGAGGCTATATAGGTCTAAAGCAGCAATTTGAGGAAGAGATTTCTCCAGTCATTGATGCCTACAATGCATGGAACCATGACCCCTTAAGTTTGGTATATCATTGAAGGAAAAGAAAGTGTAATAGGATATGAATCCAGTTACTGTTTTGTTTTTTTACTGGACAATGATTCTCCATAATTACTGCTCAAAAATTAGTGAAGCATATAGTTATTTGGCAGTTAAGTGGCTCTTCTTAGGAAATGAGCAAACATGATGGTCATCTGCTTGGTTTTCAGTGGTATGGTATTATGTACTAGTCTGTGCCCATTCCTTTCTCACCAAATTAGAGCATGTTATAGTAGAATGCAAACAGAAGTGTTTCAGCTGATACTGTTTCCATGGTTACCAATACTGAGCGATACTGCCTTGCCACATATTCATGTGTAAGATTATCACAGCCAACTTGGTATATTAAATTTGGGAAGACAAGATTTGTCACAGTGTTTTGACTTTTTTCAGTCAATAAATTTTCTGGCTTTCATCTCAACATCTGTTTTTGAATAAGTACCATCAGGCACTCCTGCCAATAAGATTAAACCCTAACAGCACACTTTCTTCTTGAGGACCCCGTCACCTACTTTTTGGCTCGTTGTGATGCTTCGGAACATTAGGATGAGCCTGGAATGTTGTATGCTTAGTTCATTTAGAAATAGCTGGTAGAACCCAACTGCCAGGAGGGCAAAAATGCAAAATGCAAATTAAATACTATTGAGAACTGTGAAGCTAATTTAATCACATTCATCAAATATGCAAAGAAGTTAATTATTTCCCCCCTTTTCTTTTTCAGTAATAGTTATGCCCGTGTGCGAGCTGTGGTGATGACCCGTGATGACTCAAGTGGTGGATGGTTACCACTTGGAGGGGGTGGACTGAGCTGCGTCACTGTTTTCAAAGTCATTCACCAGGAAGAAAATGGCTGTGCTGATTTTCTTGTACATGGGGAGCGTCTCAGGGATAAAACGGTAACAGCTGTGTCTGTCTTGTGGTGTTACTGAAACTCCATATTCTTGTTATTCTGTTAAGTCAAAGGAGAAGTAATCAGCTGTGCAAGAAATATCTTAACATCAAGGTGTTCAAAACCTTATATCAATGTATTCACTTCTGAAAGAAAAAGAGTTATGTTACATGTTAAATGCATTTTTGTTTGGATGTACTTATGTTTTTTCTTTATACTCTGGTCATTTTGGGAGTGAGGTAGATAATATTTATGATGTAAATTTTGATCATTAGCAAAATTATCACGTTATTTATTTAAAAAGATATATGGGCTGCCTCTGGGAAAACCTAGCACAAGCAGATGAAAATACATATTGTAATTTTATTTTTAAAATTCCCTCACTTCATAGCCCTACACATTTTTCAAAGTGGCTTACAAATGTCATTACAATAAAACCACAGTGCAAACAATAATAGAGTCATTTCAACACAGTTGAAATCAATATTAAGTTAAAATGATGTTACAAGAAGTTAGTTTGTTGAGGTTAATCAATTTCAAATTGAGCTTCAGCAATTTCAAAACACTGGAAATTTCCATTTTTAAGAACAATAAAAATGTTCTTAAATGAGAACATTTGTGAGAATGTGAGAAAGTGAGAATAAAAATGACATCTGTTGAAAAATGAAACTTAGCAAAAATTTGGCAACCAAACTGGGGTTATGGCATCCTCCAAAAACAAACTTATTTACTTCCTGTTTTTCATGTTCTGTTACCTGGTTTTCATGTTACCCTCCTATCTATCTGTCTATCATCTAAACTGTTTGTATGCCTCCCAGTTGTGCCACAACACCTCTGGACAGCTCACAAGTACAAGAGAACACAGGGATTTAACTCTCCTTACTACTTTCCATCCTAATTTTTATCATTCTTCAGATTGTTGTCTAGCTGAGGAGTGACGGTAGTGCTCAATTTAAACTTATACATTTTGCAAATTCAGCACCTGCTGGTTTCTTGCCCTCACTTTAGATAGCTGCATGGAACTTTTTCTTGCCTGAAAGAACAGGTAAATCTCTGCCCCTGTTCTTGCCTTTCCCTCTCTCTGGAAGTAGCTTCTCTCACCAGAACAATTGAAAGTGGGTAGACCAGGCAAAAGAAGCTAATGACAGAGAAAAGAGAAAGTAGTTTCCTTGTTTGCTTTGGTAAAGCCATGTTTGCTGCTGCTGTCTAAGGAAAGGATGCTCACTTTGCCAAGAGATGTAAGGGCTCAGCAAACAGTGTATATACCATCCAGGTGATACTGCTTCTATTGACGGCCAGTGAAGGACAGAAAAAACCAGATGTGATGGGAGTTTGAAAACTTCAGTACTCTCTTAAAAGAGGGTAATCCTAGAGATCCTTTATAAGAGTTGCTACTGGAGCAGCCTTTTAAATTAGCATGGATTGATGACTGAATAGGCTTCCTGTTGCCTTGTTAATGCATTTGTATTCCCAGCAGTTCCTGATTTCTAAATTACTGTGCTTTCTTATGAGACTCCATGCTTAAGCATGAACCGTATGGACACACAGTGGCTCAGACTGGGTGACAGAGGAAACAGAAAGGGAACAGAGCTAGCAGGACTACAAAGGAATGATACAGAGTACGAGCAGGACAGATGGGGAAATGCAGTATTTATCTTGCATTTCTGCCCTTTGTAACTGCCATAAAACAGTCATTCAGGTTTAGATAAAAAAACTCATCTGCTGTCATCCTGCTTTGATGAGAAGTCCCTGTCATACAGTGTGGGCAGACCAGCCTTTTGCACACTTTTATTTTCTTAATGGTTTATTTAGACTTTATTGCTGATTTTATATGGATAAACTTATCTGTGCATGTGCCATTTGCCATACTCTATTTTACCTTTTTAATTGTTTGTGATCTACCCAGAGGAAGGAACAGATTAAAAATAAAAAAACATATCTAGAATGTTTAAATCCCAGCCATGAGCCCCAAGAGGTAAGGCTTTCTGGCTCACTCCTAAATTTTCAAAAAGAAATAAGAGCCCATGAAACACTAAAACAGCAGAATGGCATAAAATAAACATTTTCAGGAATTGCCTTTCATACAGTTTTTTTTTGTAATTCTGCGCTCAGTTTCTTGGTTAGGCCTTTTGCCAGTGGAAATGTGCCTTGTGTGTGCAAGAGAGAGCCTTTTCAGTTAGGACCTCTTAACATTAGAATAGCATCTCAAGGCAGGTTTGTCAGGCCTGCTATTTGCCTGGCTTAAAGTGGGCTCATAAGACTGTTTTATTATGGTGACAACATTTTAGTTGAATCTTGGTAGGTTTTTTAGCATGCTGTTCCTGATAGGGTACCAGTATTTATGATGCTGGTTTTACTGCTGTTTAGGTTTGTTTTTCACTTCATTTTGATAGATACGTTTATTTGTAAGCTGACTTGTGTTTGATTTTGTCATAGAAAGGGAAAATATAAATCACCAAATAAATGCAAATGGAGCCAGTGGCCTGGTTCACACAGAATGACAGACCATGAGTTCAAGAATTCATTGCCTATTGTACATGAGTGGGAGAGAAGCCGGTGCAACAAGAAACTATGGGTTAACCACTAGGTTGTTTAGCCCTTAAACAACCCAGCAGTTCGAGTTCGGATGATGAGTTTGGTAAGAACCACTTATGAGTTGCTCATCAAAAGCAAAAGTACCAGGCACATGGCAGAGCTCCTGCTCATACACAACAGCCCATGAATTCCATGCAAACTGACTCATTGTTGAGCTTAAAACACACAATTTAAAATAGGAGCTCATAACTATGATTGTATTCTCCTGTAGTGGGAATTTCCTGCCTATTCATAAGTGACATCGCAAGTGTACACTCTGGGCAGGATAGCCAGAGTTTGCCTTACTGGAAACTTTTCAAGCTTTCCTTCCTGTGCAGTACCCTATGATATGGTGATAAAGAGGGTGGACAGCAAGAAGGATTAGCTTCAGAGAGTCTTTGCATCATAATGATTCGAGAAGCACTTCAAACATTTGAGCCAGTTCCTTGCAAAATGAGGAACATCTCAAATAAACATGGATGAGTCATTTGTCCTGTCTGAAAGATGCCTCAAATTTGTGGCCTGTTAAGTCATCATTATTATTTACTTTGTATACTGCTTTCCACAAAATGAGTCCAGTGCAGCTCACAACTCTACAATAGTACAAAGACAAAAAGTGTACTGTTTTTGTATCAACAATGTAGCAATTTCAACAGTACATTGTTAGAGTAGCAAAACCACCCAAACAATTAATTTAATACTCTATTTTAGCATTTCAGATTAATTTCAGAATAGGCAATATCAACAATTATGCTATAATAACTGTTATTATTTTTCATTGAAGTGTAAGCTAGAAAGAAATACACCAAACCTTTCCAGGCAATTAACAATATAAACTGCAAACAGGTACCCCAATTGTAGTAAGTACAGAAAATGGCAACCAGACTTCATAGACCCTGCAGTAGCTCATTTCTTCCATACTCCATTCTGTCATTCTCGTGCAGTTTTTAAAGCTCCAAAGAACCCCCCAAAATGGTATTTTCTCTCCCTGTGCTTTGCGTGTTTATCTATCATCCTTCATAACTTCATAAAATTCAATTCAAGAATGGCAATGCATTGTAATATGATTGAACTTAAGTAGCTGCTGAACTTTGCTGAAAAAAGGAATTAGTATGTTTAAGAGAAGAATCCTCCCTAAATAATTAACAATACTGATTAATTTTTCCTTCACCCTCATGGTTTTTTTCTTCAGTCAATCCATTTCCTTCAATTGTTGCTTTCTTTTTTCAACTTTTAAAAGAGGTCTTTGGTCTGACATTAGTAGTTCCTAAAACAAGCTTGGCTTCCCAACTGTACTTTTACTTTCATACCAATCCTTGATGAAGTGAGAAATTGATTGGTCCATGCTAAATAGAAACAATGACTCAGCTTATTGCTGCTCCTTTATGCAAAATGTGCATAAAAATAAAAAGTGGGGGGGACCTGGGACTGCTGAGGGTTAAACAGGCCTAACAGAACCCACAGTCCTCAGGTTCAAATGACATGACAAATCATCGTCATGGCTGAAATATTCGAAATTGTCATTCACACACTGTAGCCCACCATGCCACAAATAAGCCATGGTGGCCTGTTTAGTTGTGCAAAGCCAAATGGCTTGCAGGCACCATGCAAAAATGGCATCCATGAGCACCTAGCACAATATAATAGTTGCTTTGAGTTACTTATTAGGCTGTTTATCATGTAAACCAGGCCAAAGAGCTGCCTCCTTTGGTGTTGGTTGTTTTTAGAAACACATGTTTCAATTAAACCAATTGGTGCATACCTCAAGAAAAATATATAGCTGCACAGGAGGTTGAAATCCTAATAATACTTAAAGTAACCTTGTAGGTGAAACTTGGGGTAGTGTCTAGGAACTCAAGGCTAGTGATCCAGACTGAGATAACCACCACTACCACTCATTGCTTCCTGTGGATATATTTGAGGTCCTGCTTTCTGGAGCCTCTGTTCCTAAAATGGGTGGATGCCCATATTTTTTCTGCTTCTCCTGAGCACTGAACTTTTAAACATACAAATAGGTATGTCAGAGCCTAGAAGTACCTTAATATATACAAAGAGTTGTGGGGTGAGAATAGGGGACAATGACATAGAAATATCTGTATACCTATATAATAAATTTGCATAATTATATCTTAGAATGACCTTTTGCTGAACTTAGAATTGCATTCAACCCACACTGCTACACAACTTTTATGAAATAATTCTTAAGAGTTGTTAAGTGTGAATCATACTGATTGCCAAACTCCTGCTCCTGGATTATGGCCATAAAATGACACACTCAAGGTCTTCTTTGGTGCCTTACTTTCCAAAAGTGTGCTTGAACTCTGCCTCATTGGAGGCAACCTAAAATAATCAAAATTGCAAGCTGTCTGTTCCTTTAAATAAAAGCATGATCTTTAAGATTACACACTGGGCAGTGTCTCTATTTCGCTTTCT